AAACCCCCACAAAAAAAAACAAAAAAGCACCAATAAAAAAAAAAAAAAAAAAAAAAAAAAAAAAAAAACCCCACACAAACAAAAACAAAAGAGCACAATGGAATTTCAAACAAAACACAAAACTTAAAGGAAACAAATTTAAGTGAACATTAATTCAAGCTAATGGGCCATGTCTTGGTGCAGTGTGGTTGCTGCAGCGTGATGTGGCACAGGATTGGGAGACCATTGCTTGCTGCCCCTCTGTGCTGTGTGCTGACTCTTTCTCCTACCAATTTTCTTTTCAGAATTTTTTTTTTTGTTTACAGTTTGTCTCGATGTCATGCTTTCTGACGCCCAGTCACCTGTGACATGTCCTTGATATGCGGTCACTCTTATTACTTCCTTCCCTTTTAGTGAGGCAGACTTCCCTTTGTTATAAAGGAATATTATAGAAATTGCAATTCATAAACACTTTCCTCATGATTGTTACTAATATTAAGAAAATTTTATCACATAAAATTAAGAAAATGTTCTCGAGGAAGTCACGAACCTCCAGAAGTCTGCCTGAGGGTAGCAGGTGTTCTTGGACTGCAGTGTGGGAAATGCTGTTCTGTTCCGCTGGTTTGGCAGTAGAGGTTGAATTGTAGCAGTAGTTCACAAAGCAGCATGAGAACCCAAGACAAAATAAAAACGTGTGTTCGGGGCTCACTCACTAGGTATTCCTTTCCAGTGGGTGGTGAAGGGAAACTGAGAGGGCTCAGAAATCCAAAGATTTCCAGGAAATGTTAGCATACAGTCATATAAACTTAAAAACTGAAAAAAGAACCCACCTGTAGTGGCTTGAATGCATCCCCTGAATTGCACATGCTGGAAATTCATCCCCAAAGTCATGTGCTAATGATATTTGAGAGGCAGGACCTTTGGTGGGTGATTGGATTGATCCATTCATGGGTTAGTGAATCAGTGAGCTATGATGTGGGTGGCTTTCTAAGAGTGCTCTCTTTGGATAACTTGCTCAATCATGAAATGCCCCATACCACTCTGGAACGTTTCAGGATTCTACCAGCAAGGCGGCTCTCATCAGGTGTACCCCTCAACCTTGGACTTCTCACCTTCCAGACATTTAAGAAATGAATTTTCTTCTTTATAAATTATCAACTGTGGCATATAGCTATGGTAACAGAAAACAGACTAAATCACCATCACTTGGTAAAGTCATCTCCAAGCACAGAAAGACATTGGGTTTTTAACCTGGAATCATTTTTACTTAAAAAATGATAAAATAGAAAAATGTTTAAAATAGAAATCCGTACAAAGAAGCTGGAAAGCTTGTGTAGAAAGGTTCAAGTTCACTAACATTGAAATCATGGATTAGGAGAAGCTTAATTCAGACAGCTTAAGAACAGAAACCCTCCACTCATTTCATGGGCCAAACACAAACCTGAAGCAGCTAAAGCCACCTCATTCTGGATGCTCCATCTAGACCTTCCACAGGAAGGGAGCCCTTCCTCCACGACAGCTTTTTGCTACAGGTGTTGCTTGTCATACTATTTAGCATTTTCTTATTTAATTGTTAAAGACACAGTGTTTCATTTTGTTGCCCAGGCTGGTCCTGAATTGGGCTCAAGTGGATCCTCCTGCCTTAGCCTACCAGGTATCTGAGACTAAGAGTGTGTGCAACTGAACCTGGCTTTACTATTTATTGCCTTGTGATGAGTGGTTTTCTGGTCTATCTCCTCTCCTAGACTTGTTCCTTGAAGACAACAGACTGGGTCTTAGATGAACTGGTACCAACGCCATTCGACCCTGGTTTGTGAGATGGTGTTTACACCAATTTTTGATATAAGGGACTGTGGGACATCCCCTTTAAGAGGGGTGGACAAAGGGTGAGGGTGGGAGGGAGTGAAAACAGGAAAGAGCAGAGGCAGCCAAGAAAACTGCTCACACTGCCCTTCCCACAGGTGACAGGTCCTAGAAAAGAAGCTTACTTTTGGTCCCTCAGTGGATGCTGATCCTGTTCATGGGGTTTAATGGTTAGCAGGGATCTCATCTAAATCTCGGAGGCTCATCTAAATGATTAAAATCCTTCCAATAACAGATGCTTAGGGAAAGCCGTGCAAGGACAGAGCAATAACCTGAAGACTTTTACCCAGACTGTTCCCATGTCCCCCACTCAGTAGTGTTGTGGCTTCAAGACAAGTCCCATCATCTCCCTTGGCTCAGTTTCCTTATCCGCAAAATGACAACGTATGAGCTCCTCTCAGAGTGGTTGCAAGACTGGCAGATAAATATAAAGTGGGGAGGACATCATAACAGACAATTAATAGGTGACACTGTTTAGTGCGATCATAATTTCTAGCTAAGGAAACTAAGAATCAGGAAGATGAGCTAACTCATTCCAGGCACACATTACACCAGTGGTGGACACAGGACAAAGGCCATGACTCATCTGCGATCAGCTGCCTCTCACTAAAAGCCAGATCCTATACTGTAAACCTGTCAGTATGGTCTCATGGCAGGCGTATGAGGCAGGTGCCTTCACTTATCCCATTCTGTGGAAGTAGAAATCGGCACTGAGAGAACTCAAATAACTTCCCCCGGAGGAGTACAAAGTGGTCATGTTGAGGTACCGACCAATGCTGAATCTCAACACTCAGCTTCCTTTATGGCATTTTCATACACATACACCATTGTACTTTATTTTTATCTGCCCCTCTACTACCTTCCCCGACCCCCTTACTCCCCTTTCGTTGGTCCCCTTCTTCCCCCAAATAATTCCTCCTGCTTTCATGTCACATATATTCCATTATTCCCTCTTGCTACCCCTCTTCCTCCCTTTAGACGTTTTCCTCTCCTCTCATAGCAGCTCCCTTTATTCCCTCACATCGGCTCCCTCTATACTCTGACCACACACACACACACACACACACACACACACACACACACACACACACACCCCAATTTAAATTTAGATTCCACATGTGGGAGAAAACATTCAACATTTGTTTTTCTGAGTCTGGCTTATTTCACTTAGCATAATGACCTCCACCAAGTTTCAGCCATTTTTCTGAAAATATCATAATTTAATTCTACTTAACATGTTCATTCATATGTTGGTAGAGGTTTAGGCTGGTTCTCGATCTTGGTTATTGTGAATGGTGCAGCAATAAACATGAATGTGCAAGTATCTCTGTGGTATTTAGAACCCTCTGAGTATATGCCCTTCTGGTATTCTTCACAAGTCCTGTCTCTCTGGGGCCAGTATAAAAATCACATCCAACCCAACCTCACTGGGTAATGGCAAATCCTATGAGCCTTTGATATGTGCAGGGCAATTTATTATCTTTAATTATATGTTTGTGGTGGGCATGCTGCTTTGTGTCAGGGCAGGAGCCCCTGTTGACTGCAGACCTCTTACATTCTGGCTAGGGTTGCACTCTTAAAACCCAGAGCATTTCACTCTTGCATTGGCCAACACTTGATTTGCAGGGCTCTGCCTGGAGCTATGAAGTCTTCATAGAAGACACTGGACAGTCCATTAGCAATACTGCTCTGTCCTAATCAGATTCCAGAGAGCTTAACTTCAGATACTGAGGAGAAAATAGCACCATCCTTGGCTAACAATCCTTAGCCCTCCCACTGAGACAGACAATTATTAATTATGAGCCTCATAGTCCTGTGTCTTCAAGTCAGGAAATATAGAATGATTGTGTCAGGAACATTAATTAATCATCCCATCTGATCACTTTTGTTAGTTCTCCTAAGGAATAAATTCATGTGGTCCCTCAGCTCTCAGTTCTCCTCCTATAACATTAACAGAAAGGAAAAATTCCACTCACTGGGTACAAGAATCACCCACAGTTTGTGTTTTTAATAATCGGTAAAACAATGTAGAAAATTTTCCCCTGTACCACAGATCACAGATGCTGTAGCTCTCTTTTCTTTCTTTCTATTTTTCTTTCTTTCTTTCTTTCTTTCTTTCTTTCTTTCTTTCTTTCTTTCTTTCTTTCTTTCTCTTTTTGAGTTTCAGAACTACTCTCTGCAAGATGGTGTTTTCTTTGGAGAAGATGACTTGTGATTAAGGGTTTACTTCTTAAGCCATAGGCTGAGTTTGCTGAATCCCACTGAGGGGTTAGCCTGTGTGTGCTGTTGAGGAAGTGAGCATCTTGCAGATAAGTTATTAGCTCGAATGTTTAACTAATACCTCTGGCTCTTCCTCCCTCCTGTCTTTATGGAACTATAATATTATGGGCCTGCCTGTGCCCAAGAGCGAGGCCAGTGTTCATGGTATCTCTGTTACAGATACAAAGGCATCTCTGCCAGACTCGTCTAGTGAAAGGCATTTTATACTGGAAAACTGTGAGCTACTGACAGGTGGAGCGAATGGCAAATATCTTACCAGGAAATCACTAAGTGGAAGCCTCCCATGCTTAGCTGCCAAAGTCTTTCTTATTTGAGCAAATCCCAGGGCAATTAAAAAGCATATCTTGTGTAAACAGGAAATAGGGATTCACAACATCCAAACTCTCTTGGGTTTTGTTTTCTAAGAAGCGGCATAAAGAACGGCTTAAATAATAGGTTAGTCCTTTTTCAGTTTTTCACTCTATAGAGCAATAGAGGATTCACAATAGAGGATTCACTTTCTATTTATGTAGGATGCCTCACTCTTTGTGGGAGGGACATTAATTATAGTACTGGTTCATAATGATGGAGAGAAAGAAGACTGTTTGTAAAATCATCTAGAGAATCTTCCCATCACACCCATTCTTTACTTTCCTCCTTCCCTGTAACTTTATCCTGAGATATGGCCCTGGTCCAGACCCTGAGGGACCATATTATTATATCTGTATTGGGACCTGAGTTTTGAGAACAGTTCCCCCAAAGGGTTCTGAAATGTAGTCCCTCATCCCTCTCTTGTGCATTAATCTCAAAACATGTTGAGAAGAAATGTGGCAGATCTGATGAACATAAAAACAGAGTTCCTTTGTTCCCACAAAAAATAGAGAATTTTATTTATTTACCTTTCACAGTTAGGCCCAGCATAGTTTTCTTTACAGATACAGCGAACAGCTCCGTTTTTCCTATAGCAGGATTCTGCAAAACTAGAATTATAGGCAAAGATTAGAAGCGGCTTCATATATCATTGAATAGGCTGTTGTAACTTTTGATTTGATCATTTCTATCTGACCCCTCTCCAATTAATAGGGTGTGCCCATTTGCTTTATTTACTTATGTTCTTATCTTTCAGGGGACTTTGGACCAGCAAATCCAGACAGAAAATGCCCCTCACTGTGGGGCCATTTCCCAGGTGCACTTTATCTCTAGAGAGACTTCGTTAGTTTTGCTTGAAGCAGTGGGAATTTCTAGTATAAAGATCATGTGTGTGTAGACATGTGAATTTAAATGTTCATTCATATATGCTTATATAATATTTACTTTTCAAATACAAATCTAAAACATATACTCAAAAAGCCAGAAATTATCAAAGATTACCTGTAACTTTAGACTTATATAAGAACTTCCTCAAATTCCCACCTTTTCTGTGTATACATTTAAAAGTTTCTTCAGGGGCTGGAGAGGTGGCTGTGTGGTTAAGAGCACTGGCTTCTCTTGCAGAGGACCCAGGTTCAGTTCCCAGCACCCACATGGCAGCTAATAACCATCTGTAACTCCAGTTTCAGGGGATCTGATGCCTTCTTCTAACCTCCTTGGGCATTGCACGATATAGGTTTACTTATATGCATTCAGGCAATACACATACACACATACACACACACACAAGTAATAATAAAATAAAAAATAATAAAATAAAATATTTTAAAAGTTTCCTCATAGTTTCTTGTATCAGACCTCTTCATTTACAGATCAGAAACCAGTCCTAAAGTGTAGACTCTCTACAGAGCCTTGACCTCTTTCATTTTGTACTTTAAATATTGGGGCTAGGGGTAAAGGGACTGGATGAAGTGGATCAAAGAGACAAAAACGAGTCCTTGAGAAAGAAACAGGACCCATAATGAAAATATGTATTTGGGGCTGGAGAGATGGCTCAGAGGTTAAGAGCACCAGCTACTCTTGCAGCAGACCTGTGTTTGGTTCCCAGCACCCACATGGCAGCTAACAGCCATCTATATCTCCAGTTCCAGGGGATCCAACACCCCTTTCTGGTCTCTGTGGGCATTACACTCACACAGTGCACTTACATACATATAAGCAAAACACTCATACACATAAAATAGAAATAAATTTAAAAAATGATTCCACGGAAATGCATGCCCTCCCTCCATTCCTTTTTCTTCTTTTTAAAGATAATAAACGTTAGGATACAAGACAGAAAAGTAATAATAATATTGGTTCACATAATAAATAACTATCCTAATTACTGAGGCAGAAGAAATGTAGTATTATTCTTCACGTGTATGAAAAATCCTATGACAGAAGAATTGTGTAAAGTGTAGGTGTGTGTGCAGAAACATTGAAAGCTTTCCACATTAGCTTTGGTTTTCACACTGTGCAGTCAGTGGTGACCTCTGAGCTTGTATTTCTGCACGAGTCAGCAGTTTTATCCAAATGATTGTTGAAGAAAAGTAAATGGTTGTGTCTGCTTTATTTGAAGACAGTTATAAAATCAGAAAACAGCGTGTGTCCCTTAGTGAAAGGCAATACCCACAATTTATTTTCTCAACAGTTTGGTAAAAACATTCCAATGACATTCCACTTCCTTGGCATTTTACCCTTTGTTTTGCTTGATCTTATTCCTTAGCTGCTCTAAATAAATTTTGCCAGTATCCAGAACATGGACAAACACTCGTGCATCTTTCTTTGAAGGTGTTCCATCCAGTCTGCCCACAGCTCCAAGAGGAAACATCTGTCTGGGGTGTCTGGAGTCCTCTGCTTTTAGCTGATGTCCCACTGTTTCAAACAGATGCCATTTTCCTTAATTGGAGCAATTACCATAACTGCTGGTGGACAGGGAAGATTTCTGGTCAGGCCTAGAATAAATAAGTGTCTGTAAATGGCCCTTGGGAATAATGGCAGACTCTGTGGCAGTGCAATGCCAGCCATGGGCATTCAGTTTTGTTTTTCATTAACATGAGTTGTTTATGCCTTTTAAACAAGGGGAGTCTCTAACATTGGCTAGGAAAATTAAAACCCTGCACTTCTCTCAGCGCACTCTATTGTGGTGTCTTCTGCAAGCAGAAGGATGCTTTTTGCTCTTGAAAACCTTTAAGAAATTAAAAAAAAAAATAGACCCGGTTCTTTGTTTTCTTAGATATCTCAAGTATTCATTATTCCTTTGCTTTAAAAAAAGATGTATTTTTATTTTTACTTATGTATATGTGCATGTATACAAGCCTGTTCAAGGGTGCCTGAGGAGGCCAGAATAGGGTGTATGTCTCCTGGAGCTGGAGTTACGGGAGGATGTGGTTACAGGAGTTGCTGGAGGTGGGACCAAAACTCTGGTCCTCTGCAAGGACAGCAAGCACTCTACCACTAAATCACCTCTCTAGCTTTTTCTTTCTTGACTTTCTGATGAGCCATTGTTAACTGGAAAACCAAGTCCCGGACAGGCAACTCAATTCATGGGTCTTTTGAGTATAATTCAGATTTCATCTTATGTGCCTATGTGAAAAGTTCTGACACCTAGTTTTGTAGGAAGCAGCAATGTGAACTTTTTACAAAGCTGAGATAATGGAGCTTCTGACTTTTGGTAAGATACCTGATTAATACTTGAGATTAGTTGACTAAGTCAATAACAAGACCAGATCAAATATGAGAACTTTCTGGGATCTGGCCAGATCTCTTCAATCCTATGACCACAAGCTACTCCATCTCTGCCCCTGTGAAGCCAGTTTTTCCTCAATAGTAGAGCCATTACCACTACAGAGAAAAATCTGTAAAAATCACAGAGAAAGTCTCTCACACCCTACCCAATGCTCCCACTCCAACCAAATGTTTACTCACAGGTAGCTTACGTTGGCTTTTGTTTTAATTTTCAGCATGTTTTTATCACATCGGGTCTGTACTGCAGAGAACATTGTTAGTTTCTGTCTGTGAACATGCCTAGAATGTGGGAACACATTCCTGAGTTCCTTAGTTGCAACTTTGGACCCAGGATGTGCCCTCTCACACACAGAGCATGGGTGGAAGTCATGGATCTTGATGTTTTTGGAAACCTCTTCCTAGCTGAGGGCTGGAGACTCATTACCCAACTGGCCAGTTTCTGCTTCTTTTATCGGAAGGAGAAACAGCCTGAAGCAGTGCTTCTTGCTCAGCTAACACACTGGATAATCTGGCTTAAAAGATAAAGAGGCATTTGCTGTAGGAGAATGATAATTGCTGTTCTTTGATCTAAATGAAAATAAGACTTTGGGGCTGTTTGGTATGCTGCTGGGAAGTGCTCAAGAAATACTTCATTTTATACTGGCACATGGTAAATGCTGAAGAAATACTTTGCCCGATTTCATGTGGACAAGGCACCTCAGTCTGTAGGGAATGGTAGTGTAAAGGTCTGACATCTTAAGACATTAATGTTACATCATTTAGATGAGGAAATCTCATCATATGGACGGAGCAAAAATGTAAAAAGCAAGAGAATACAATTAGAAGGGACCATCTATGATTGCTTTCTTAATTCATGTCAGTGCCTAAGGAAACTGTCTAAAACTCAAAGCTTATGAACTCCTTTCTGAGTGGATGATGGTGTATGGCATCTTTATAGGGTGAATGAGCAAAACTGGTTATTAGGAAGTTAGAGGTAAATATTCTTAAGTGTGGTAAATGTCTCATCAGATGTGATTAGGATTAATGTTTGAGAGCAGAATTTTTAATGAGCAATTAAAGATTATACCCAGATGAGGCAAAGAGCTCATAAATCAGGACATTCCTGAGTGAAAATAACAGAATGCTTAATGCTGTGCTTCCTGCTCCTCCTCTCACGACCATTCACTGTGCACCTCTTACTGATACTGTCAGACATGGAGAATCACAAAGAAGGTCTGAAATAGTTTAATGGTTTCTAAAGAAAGATGAAACTTTCTGACTTCTCTGGCTGTCTGCGTGAAAAGTTAGATAGCATTGGTTTTCAGTTAAGGAAAACAATTAGGGAAAAATCTGGTTGCATGTGTGAGGTGTGAGTGTATGTGCATGTGTGTGAATATGTATGTGGAGGCTAGAGGCTGATGTGGGTTCCTTCCTCAATCACTCTTCACCTTATGTATTGAGGCAGGGCCACTCACTTGAACCCAGACTCACTAACCTGGCTGTCTGCTGAGCCAGCTTCTCAGAGGCTCCTCTCTCTCTGTCGTCTGAGCCCTGGGGTTACAGATAGGCTGCCACACCTGCCTGACATTTACGTGGGTGTGGGGGATCTAAACTCAGGTCCTCATGCTTGGATGGCAAGCACTTTAAACACCGAGCCATCTTCCCAGCCCAGCCATTTTATGTGCACTATTTAATTTAATCTTATAATTACTATCAATTATATAAATACTGCAAATAAAAAAGTGTCTGACATAGAGTCAATTAAATGTAAGTTTTTAGAAAAAGTACTAAACTTATGTTCAGTAAAGCCAATGTTAACCTTGGACTCTTCCAGGTTCAAGTGCTCACCCAAATGTTTCCCATGTTACTCCGTCCAGTCTCACAACCCTATGATGCAGGACCTCACACCTTAGCTTGATCCACTTACTAAGGAAAAATCTGAGATCCAGAGAAAGTAAAGGTCTCAAGAAATGGAGCCAGAATCTCAACCTATTCTCACAGAGACCCCAAATCTCACAGACAGCAGTACATAGAGACAAGGTAACCCGTCTGAGGTCACACAGTTATTAAGTGTCAAAGCAGAAATCTGAAGCTAGGTTGATTGTCTGCTTGTGGTGTAGTTTAAAACACACTGAGTCTTTGACCCTGGTGTCTAACATAGACCTTCTACAATCCTTGAATTTCTCAAGCGAAGAGCCTGATTTTTCTTGGTTTATAAAGAGCCTCTTCACCAGACCTGAGTATGTGAATGAGGAGGCTCGGTGGACCTCTAGATGACTGCAGTGTGGAAGCTGCATCAGAGGAAACAACTGTATGACTAGAGGGCTAGTCCCAACCTTCCTAACTTTCCTCACCCAGCTCTGAGCTCAATCACTGATGGCCAATGACCCATCATGTCTCTGAACAGAAATCTGGACAGGAAATGGCAACGGCGAGGCTCGGGTAGCTTCCGGGTTCTGCATACGTGGATACACTAAGAGGGGGCACTTCTGATCTTGGTGTGGGATTTCTGAACCCTCTCCTGTTCCCCCATATTTACTTCCCTCATTTAGTATATATTTCTTTTCTACATACTTACATATATTCCCTTATAGGTTACTTCATTTGGCTGCTCTTACATTGTGTCCTTTATAATAAATTGGTAATCATACATATTTAACACTATTCTGAGTTTTGTGAGTCATTCTAGTGAATAAGAAAAAAATGTTAAGAGGACTTGGGGGAACCCCCAAATCTGGAGTCAGCTAGGCAGACATATGGGTAGTCAGGATTCCATTTACTGGCAGGCATCTGAAATGGGAGCAATCTTGTGGAACTGAACCCTTAACTTGGGGCCTGTGCTAATTCCAGGTACTTTAATCAGAACTGAATTGATTGCAGAACACCCTGTTGGTGTCAGAGAATTGGAGAGCTGGCTGCTACTTGGAAAACCAAACACCAATATACTATTTTAACTCTATACCTTTTTTTTTTTCTCAGTGATAGGGATGGAACTCAGAGCCTCCCACATGTTAGACAAGTAATCTACCATTATACTACAGTCTCAGTCCCAGCCAACTATAAATTTTTAAGTCAATAAAATGGCTAGTCATGATGAGCTCTGGGTTTATCCATACTATAGGATTAAAAAGAGTTGCATTATTTCCATTTATACCCGGTAGATGTGTGTTTTATTCTCTATAGTATCTCACTCGGGTCACAACATAGAAGTGACAGCTACTGTTTTTGGAAGTCTTTGAACTCATTGGCTCAAAGCATATATCCTGTATATCTGTGTTCTAATTTGACAGCTGTATGCAGGAAAATAACTACTCTGTAAGGGTCAGAAGGAGCAATACTTCTGAAAATACTGTATGTTTTAATATATTATTTAGTTTTTAATTTTATGTATACTAATGTATTGCCTGCATGTATGTAAGTTCACGAATGTTGTACAATGCCTGTGGAGGTCAGAAGAAGACGTTGGATACCTTGGAACTAAAGTTACAGATGGTTTTTGGCTTCCATGTGGGTGCTAGGAACTGAATCTGTGTCCACTGCAAGAACAGTCAGTGCCCTTAAATGCTGAGCCATCTCTTCAGTTCCTGAAAATACTATATTATGAGTCTTTTGTTATTATTAGCTGTAATCTCTTTCTGTTGAGGGATAACTGGGAAAAGAAGAAACTGGCTTTGCTTAGGAAACTTAGAAGATTTTGTCAACTTTATGATTTATCAACAGTCATACCTATAAGCACTGAAGTCCCCCTCCCAAGTTTATGTAGACTAGCACACCATCTTACAGTTTTCTCAACATGCAACCTTATCTCAAAATAAGATATTCATTTTGGGTTGTGGAAAAATTTCAGAACGCTACATAAGGCCAAAAATAATTATGAGGTTAAACATTAGGAGAGACTGTCTTCCTTTAGGACTTACTTAGCCAGGTGGGGCAAGGGACAAGGGCATGGCTGGCAGAATCGGGGTGTTCCTCTGATGGAGTCTCCAATATACCCATCCAGACATTTTTCACAGTGCTCTCCTGTGGTGTTCCACTGGCAGTTCTGTGAGGCAAAAGAGGAAAATTTAGAAGAATAAAGAAATTTTTATAGACAGTAAATGTAACATCCAAGCATATTTCAAAGAAAAGGACATCAGGCCTGACAGAATACATGGTGTGTGGCAGCACAAAGAGCTAGAAAGTGTAGATAAGTGGTGGATGGCTGCAACCCGAAGGCCTGTGCGCACTGGCAGGCTGGGGACCCTCTTTGGAGTCTATGTGCAGAGGCAAGTCATCTGTTACTCATTTTGATTCTGTAAGATAATTAGGAAGTTCACACTCTGGAAGTTCTGGAAACTTTAGCTTACTGAGGTGGAATGAATATGAAATGAAAACACAAATAACATCCCCATGGTACTTAACCAGGACAACGGAAACAATAAGGATTTATGGGCATGGAAGAGCAAATGTGTTAGACTGTGGCACAAATGGAATAGAAGGTAGATAATAGATGTTCTTTTAATGGTTTATGATAATGATACACAAGAAACAGGAAGCAGACTGATGTGCATGATTTCTCCATCTGTGGCAAGGATAACAGATGTGAAGAAAGGAATAAACCAGACCTTCTGAGCTGTCTGTTCCTCATTCGTTATCTACTGCGGGCTTCAACATCTTTTGAAAGTCCTTCCTGATTCTCCCAGTGAAAGTTCCACCTGAGTCCCACACAGCAGTATCCACTCCCAGCCTTAGCACCCCCTTGCTGGCACATGTATTGTTCAGAGTATATTACTATTAACATGCATGGAGCAGGTCCTTAGTAGCTTCGAGGTGATGAATCCATAGGTGCTAGCACAGGAACAGCTTTCTCCTGTGGGGTTGGACTGGAGAGGACAACACAGTGCCATCAGCACCCTGATGTTTTCATATTTATGTTCATCAGTGTATGGTGGCTGAATCAGGTTTTCAGTGAAAGCATCCTCCCTGTTGAGAAGTTGCCTTTGAAAACCTATGCGGGAGCTGCTGCAGAACTTTTTCAAGTAGTGACTGCTGGTGAAACCCTGGGGGAAACAAGATGGAGTAGGCTGAGCTCTTTGTTTTTGTCTCTGCTGTTTGAGGTTCAGAGTAAAACGATAGTGAAGACCTATTCTGAAAATGGTGCGTAGATTAGCTAGCTTAATTCTCATTACAAGTTTGAGATAGGTTCCTACTTTCCTCCCAGTTTACATATGAAGAGGTAGAGGCCCAGAATTTTTTTTTCTTCAGTTCTGGGAATCCAACTCAGGGTCTTGTACATGCTAGGCAAGCACTCTGCCAACTTGTCTGTACCTCCAGGCTCAGAAGGTTAAGTAAATCACCCAATGTTACACAGATAGTAGGAAGCAAAACTGATATTCAGATTCAATCAATCCACTTTCAGAGGTGAGGCTGTCAAATTCCATACTGTGCTCTTTCTTCAACTTTGATAGAGAAGTCTCTTTTGCCAAATCAGACACAGAGTGACTGTAATAAGTAGTAGACTATTTTACTAATAGCTTGAACTTCAGGTGAAGTACAACATAGTAGTCAGAAGGGAGAAATCCTTTGTAGTCAACAAGCTCTCCCAACCAGATGCTGTTCAAGTATTTGATCCACAGTCAGAAATAGGCCTGGATTACAATTATGGGGAATAGAAATTAGAGCCTGGCTTAGGCTGTGTAACCAATGAGAATTCTTAAAAGTAAAGTATGATATGCAGACAAGAGTGTGAACTTCCCTCACAGTTCTTGAAGCTGTGCTAAGTCATTGCTCAGTCATTTCTCAGGAAATATTTAGGGAAATAAGTGAAGGAAATGGATCAAATGGTAGACTAGCATCATCTGGAGCAAGTAGAGGACATGGACATCTAAAACAGGCTCAAAACTGCTGGCAATCTCCTTTCCAGGAAAACCAAGTAGCGGCACCCAACTACCATGCACCTGAGCTATAAGCAATCTGGCAAGGCCATTGAAAACTAGGGTCAAATTTCTGAAATTCTTTGTTACACAGATGAATCACATCTGTGTAGAAGAAAGTATTCTACTATCTTAGGCCATCTCTCATGGCTGACGTGACTACTAAGGAACAAAAATGAGCTAGTTCTCAGCTCTGTCCCTTTATCACTTGATAGGTGCTTTGGGTCCCGTGTCAGGGTTTTAGTTCTGCCACAGTAGCCACGGGTACCATTCAAGGGCAAGGCTATGCAATCTCTCTTGACCTCTAGAATACCAAATACAGGCATTGTCTTTCCTCATCAGCCTCTTTAAAAAATTCTTGTTATGAATTCTCTAGAAAGGATTGATACAAATTTGGGGAGACTGGTAGAGAGAGTGTAAGAGACAGGGAGAAAATGTTCTAGGCCCTTCATTTTCCAGCTGGTCTACTTGAATAGCCACTTGACCTTTCTGGGATTCTATTTCCTTATCTGTAAAATGAAGCATTAGAGTAGATGGTCTGTTGGCTTTCTTCGTGTTGAAAATCTTTAACCTTGAAATTGTAAAACGCCCCTTCATTTTCGATGCTTGGCCATTTTCCAAACTTTTGTTTGGAAAACACGATAACAAATATGCTATGGGGGTTATTTCTTAGTACTACTGACCTCACAAAGATGGAATAAAAATTCTGAATCATGAGCCAGTGGTTGAAAAAGCTATAGTCAGACAACCAGTCTCAGTGTTAGGAAGGACATTTGGGTACTAATGTCTCTGGCACATGAGAAATGATGTCTCCTATTTACTTGGTCACCTTACCAGCATAACACAGAGGAAGAGCTCCAGGGTCAGATTCACCTTTGTATGACTTATCAACATGCTTTATTTGAGAACAGATCCACAGATCTCAATGTATATACAAGTAAGTCAAAACTACATTCCAAATACTGCTAAAATTTTATTTATCTGTTGCATGTTGTTTTCTCATGTGGACAAGATGACATGGCAGGACATACCACCACAGGTTGATATAGAAGGGGGTACGAAAATCCAGCTGCCTTCTATTTTGTAAGCCAGCCACAAATATATTTTCAATTTGAAAATATGCTTATGTTAGAAGTACATTATTTATGTTGACTTGAGTAGATTTATTATTGTTGTCAAATGAATTCATAAATATTATAATTTTCATTTTAAATTTCAAATGTGGTGAATACTGATAGATATGATGTACATTAGGACTTCTTAAACTTTTCCCAATCACAACCCATTTTTGTCTGAGAAAATTTTACAGAATTCTAGGTATATGGGCATATAAAACATGCATACAAACCAAATGTTTACTAATAGTAAGTGATAAAGAAAATTATTTTAAAACAGTTCTTTGGTATACATATAAACATCTAATAAAAAAGAAATTTACCATTTGTCAAAGGCAAAATGGATGTGCTTACTTACTTTTACATAAAGAATTAAATCTTGGCTGATACTACAGGATATAGCTGAAATGTCTTCAGTTTTCAGAGTTGATTGATGTTTTGATTTTGTAATCACTAATGCTGAGAATTCTGCTTCATACCAATACATAGTACAAAATATAGAAGTATGTTTAGGGGCATCTCAAAAACTGTTGTAAATCTGCCCTAATCTTAAACCAAAATTCATTTAGCAATTTTTTAAATGAAACCAGAGTAAGGAAATCACATGATAGTTTTAAAACCAAACATTCTAACACAATACATTCCAAAGATACAATAATTTGATACATGATGGGGAATAATATCAGAAAAATGTTAAAATTCTTTGTTTTCTGTAATGAAACCATTATGTTTTTATAAGAATATATAACAAAAGGACTGTAATTCATAATATATAATAGTCTTGAGTATGAGCCAAGATGTTTCAGGCAATGGTCATTGACGTTGCGTGGTGTGATAACATACCTAGTGTAAGTGCACTTGTGTGTTCAGAACCAAAGCTGCAATGAAGGTATATGTTGAAACATGACAAATGCTTCCAGAAACACCTGGGATTCATTACATGTTTGATTTTGAATTAATTTTTGGTTGTTCTATGACCATCCTCCTTCAGTTACACAAGCAGGTCCAAACCCACAGTTTAAGGAGCCGGGCTCTACAGAAAACTCTTTGGTCTCTTCAACAGTTCTTTAGAATACAAAGGGCACATACGATTATGAAGTTTGAGGACAGCATGTGTAGATTAGTACTCCTTAAACTTCAGTGTGCACATGAATCTCTTAATGCTCTTGTGAAATGCAGATTCTGATGCAGCACATCTGGGCTGCAACCTAAGCATCTGCATTTCTATTAGGCTCCTGAATATTGCCAACCTTGCTGTTTCAGGCTACATTTAGAGAAAGAAGCAAGAGTGTAGAGTATCAGCAGCACTGATGATTAGACACTTAGCGTTGGCTCTAAGCCTGTCTTCAGCATAAGGCAGTGTAACTCACTACAGTGACTATCTCCTAAGTTAGAAAACTCAAGGACTTTTGCATTTAAGTCATCTTATTATCATTTCAGTAACTAATGCATTCATTCAGTTAACAAACCTGGATTAAGTAGTATATGATTGATAATGAGCTCTGGCTAGTATTTAGATGAGGGAGACCTGGTCCCTATCTTTGAGTAACTCAAAAGCCAGTGAAAGAAACACCCAGGAAATCAAAGAATAGTATTGTGTGCTCTTGACTGAGCCATGTGAATTGAAGGCTTAGCGAACGTGGTGGTACCTATCTAGGCCTTGAAACTGTCCTTCAAGACATCTCAGCTAGCAAACAGAGGGTTTTGCACAGAGTATTATCGTATAGAGATGGTTTAGGTAGCAGTGTGCTCAGTGTGGCCAGAAGGCCAGAAGAACCTTGGAGGATCTTAAAAAGGGGGATCTTTTGGTTTGGGCTTTTGAAGAACATTTCTATTGTTGTAGCAGCAAATTAGAGGGAGAGCAGAGTATGTGTGGGAAGCCAGGGCAGCAGCCAGGGAGCTGTACTGTGGTGCTGGGGCAGCCAGGGAGCAATACTGGGGTCCTAAATTAAGGAAGTAGCAAGCGTAGAAGAGAGGCATTTACTTCCTCATTAAAACTGGTGGGATTTAGGGTAAAATTAAATGTAGGGAAAGAAAAAGTAGAAGTTGATGAAGCCACTGGGCCCGCTGATAACAACTCACAGAATGATGCTGTCTTTAAGTGAGGTGGAGAACAGCACATATAGGTTATAAGGGCAAGGATGAAGATTGCACAGAGAACTGATATCTGTACGCAGTTCTGGTGACTTTCTGTATTGATGGACACAAAGCAACAGGGACTCCATCAAGCTATCCATCCTTAGCATTCTTCAGACCTGAAACTTCCGGACTTTGCTTCAGAACTTTAGCTATCGTGGAACCAAATTGATATGATTTGCAACATGCCAGAACTTTAATTTGCAGTAGATTAAAAATTGTCAAAACTTTAAGAATATGCATTTACTCTATATGCCAATTTTACACTTGCATGTAAATTTGGAAGAAGTTTCTGATCTTTTTTTGTCTTGACCACCTAAGGAGTGTACTGGTTTACTGACCACAGTCTTCCGGGGACATACTTAGCTGATTTCTGCTCTGTACATATAACAGAGGAGAGTAAAACACATCACGAAAATTCTAGGATCTTTGGAAATTAGAGACATAAGAGCCTTACTTCCTTAACTGGACTTTAATTAGGCTTGGAGACATAAAAATCCATTATATTTCAATATATTGGATGACTCCCGTTCTCCACTGTGTTCGGGATGGTTTAAAAGTCTATTTTAATATAAATATTTTCTAATTATAAAATTGCTATAGGTAATTTTATATAAGCAGAAAACTTAGACAAATATATAGTTCTAGAGAACAGTAAAGCTACTGGGCAGGTGCAAACACAGCCATCTGCTGTGCTCCTGTTGCATTTCGTTTCTATTTTCTGGAGATTTCTTTAAGAGTTTCAAATATGAATACTGAATTCACATTTTGGATTTCTTCTGCAATGCTCATATAAATCCTGACATAAATCATTTTCTTTTCATTGTCACAGATGAGATGGGGGTTTCTGCATGTGTTTCCATCTCTAGTAGTTCCAATACCTTCACTTTCAAGACCATGTTATTGTCCACATGAACTTCCAAGAAGGTGTTCTGTCCCCACAACCCTTCAGCTCACATAGTAGGAGCCACAAAACCCAGAGCCTAGGATGGGATCTGGCACAGAGGTGGTAATCGAAAAATACTTCTTGGTTAAATGGATAAATTCAATCAATAAATAAATCAGTTCTTAACTGGAAGCCAAGAAACCCTGTGCCAATGACGAATTTCAAATTAGAGTTGCTTCAGGCCAGTTCTAGGCACTGAGCACCAGTATTGTGAATGCTAATTGGCCTTAGCTAGGCCTTCTAGAGCTAATATGTATGTCTGTGACTAAGCATTTTTGCCACCAGAGCCACCTGTCTGCTCCCATACTTTTCTTCTCAATGCCACTCTGTGCTTCCTTTTAGAGAGTTATTCATATCCACTGGAGTTGTCTGGTCTTTGGGTCCCATCAGGGTGACCCAGTCCAGAATCCTATCCATCCTATCCAAGACACTACAGTTCTGCTAAGATTTGAAATGGCCCCTCAGAAAGAGACATAATACATTTTAGATTCCCAGACTATTTTCATTTAGTAACTTTTCTCTATTTGAAAGAATGTGTAGCACTAGTAGAGGCATTTTTTTGATTGTCTCATGTCTAAAATAGTAGCAGTAACTTTGTCCTATATTTTGTTGCTGAATGGCTTAGTTTATTAGTTACAGCCAGTCTATACATTTTAAGGTTTAATTGACATTCAAACTGAGGAGGTATTAGAAAAGGTTAGGATTGGACAAAGCAGACACAGGAGCTCTATTAGCCTTCAAAATAAAAGCAAAATAAGATGAAATAAAAGAAGGTCTTTCCTTTTTGATTGCTAATGGAGCTGGGAGAGTTGAGAAGGGATGGACACTGGTGACCACAGTAAGTTGAAAGCAGTGTTCTGATTGCAGCTTAGGCTTCCCTGCTGTCTGTGAATAGAGAATGACCTGGGCCCAGGGTGGAGCTGATAAACTTGAGCTTGCTCCAGTGGTCAGCTGGAGCAGGGACAGCACAGAAAATGGAAAATAAAATGAGTTTGATTCCATGGACAGGCTTAATATATTTGTCAGTCAGAAGATGAAACATTATTTCTATATTTGTAAGCTTTTTCTGCCCTTTTACTTATGTTTAATTAAATATAAGTCATGTCCTTTCAAAAATTAAATTTATAAGAATATGGATATATGTACCTCTGGAAAAATAGGTCATAGGTGATTTTTCCTTTGAATTTAAAAATACAGCAGATATTTATTATTTTTCTTATTGAACACAATTTACTTAAATCAGAGAAAAAGAAACATTTCTCTCTGAATAGGGTGTGATGGGGGAGGTCATTAAGATAAATAGATTGGCTGTTTCTTTCTGAGAAAATTTTCTGCCTTGGAAAAAAGTAATTGTAGGAAAATTGGCAATTTGCCTCTGATCTGGGTGCACATATGAATATTTAGCGTCCCATTTCCCCCCAAAATCTGGGGAAGAGTCCTGTGATGGTGTTTCTCTCAGAAGCTCACAACTAGGTCAAAACCCACGATTGTTCCTGTCCTGATAACATCATTGCAAGGCATGACTTGGTCATCACTCTTCATTCACTTGGCAGAAGGAAGTTTTTCCTTCTTTATTTTATTCCAGTCTTTGATTTTGTCAGTTGCCCTATAGCAGCTGATGGGCATGGTGGTCCCCACTATCTTGCACTTTAATAAACCAGGAAACAAAAGTCTTTAATTGGTCAAATTATCAGCAATGTATGTTATTAGTTCAACTGTATACATGGGATTTTCCCCCAAATGTCACTGGGATTAAAATAACAGGAAACCGGAGATGGAAGCATTAAAATGGGGTAGACTTTGGCAGCTGTGTATGCCTACAGGGCTGTGGAGGACATCCTGGATGAGATGGTTATTTAAGATCATGGGGGGGGGGTGACAAATGACAGGATTTAAAAAAAACTACAAAGAACAGCATTTAGTATTTTGCCACTTAATTATCTGTCCCTAGAAAAGTTGCAACTTCTAGGTTTACAATAAATATGTTCTAATTTGCCTCTTAATGTGAAGTATGAGTCGAATGGCTCCATCAGGTACATGCCTCAGAGACTGGTTATAATAAACATTATTTACTAGGGACAATTATGCTATTTTTGAGTGTATTTAAATAAGCATTCTTATAGCTTAAGCAAAGCTACTCTTACAGTTTGGGAAAGGTTCTCTTGCCATATAGGAATTTGAAGTAATGAATTTTCTTGTTATATACTGTAGTTGATAAAGAGGAACACTAACGATCCTAGAGTACACATGCTTTAAAAGAACCTCATGGCTTCTACTGGTCCCTCTTGTCAGTATTTCAATGCCACTTTTCACTGTTAGTTTGTTCCCTGAAAATGTGGACTATGTAGCAAGGTCTTTTTACTAACTGCTGTCTGTCTCCATCAGCATCCAGTTCACTGAAAAAATACACTACCCAGGAATTAATTTTAGTAAAAAAAGGGAAAAATCTCTATTTTAGGCTTCGACACAGAATTATAAAGACTGGAAGGACAAAGAATTCATCTTCATTTGGCTATTTGGTTTGAATATTTTTTTAAAAACTAATTTTGATCTATAGACCTGATTATTGTGACTCTATAACAGGCTATGGAACAACTGTTGGACGCTCCTGGTTTATGTGGGATGAAGCCAAACATATGGCAAACTATACTATTACAGAGGAATCTGGAGGGTTGGGTTCCTCCTCTGTGTATTATTTTCAACCTATCACCACTGGTCTACAGCAGGAAGCCAGCTGCCAAGGGAAGGGAGACAGGGCCCTCCTGGAGCACATATGCACAAGCTTCTGTGACCACTTAAAATCAAAAGTGTTGACACGATGTGTTTTACATGGAAAACTGAAGGGTGAAAAGGAGCTTGATTAGCCATTTGCTTGTATGTCCCTGACTTACCAGACAGAAGCCGGAGCCGTCCAAGCACTCCTGGGAATTGCCATTACAGTCACAGGGTGAGCATTCTCCTGACAGTGTGCGAAAGAATCCAGCGTTGCATCTCTGAAACAGACGGCCATATGCATTTTCATTACTGAAAACAGACATTTTGATCAGCATTTTCTGAGAGAATAGGGGATGATTATTAAAAAAAATATATATATATATTGCAAAACATACTAGTGTGAGCTTTCTGTCCTGCTATTCAGTGACAGAGGATGTTGATTGTCTATACAATCTTCTTTGTTGCAGAATTTCTTTCCCTCTTCTTTTACCCGACAGAAGAGGAACACTCAATATTGCTCCATCATTTTAAGGAAAAATAAGAATATTTTAGGTGAGAGAAAGAGGAAGGGAGGGAGAGAGAAAGAGAGAGAGATTATCTAATGTCTTTTCCAATCTAAAACAAAGCAAAGTGAAACCAAACCATACCTGGGTATTTTTCAAGGTAAGGAATTGCATTATATTCCCTATAAATAAGGACTTGTGATTTCAGAGACGACCGGCTAGGGCATATAACTTAGAGCTGTGTCTTTCATAAATGTGAGCTTTTAAATAACCCTATGCCAGGGCCAGGCAAGGTTGCTCAGGGGGTAAAAGTGCTTGCCATGTAAGCCCAATAACCTAAGTTCAATTCCTGGAACCCACACCCACATAAAGGCAGAGGGAAAGAAACATGTGCCTCCATAACATACATCATGCACATACACATACAATCAAAAGCAAAGCAAAGCAAAACACTTAATGTCTTCAGACTGTAACATTGCAAAAGTACTGGTAAGGAGGTTGATGAGTTAGTTCTCCTGTACGTTGTCAAACCCTGTGTGGGTTCTGATTGTATCTTTCATTGATTTTCATAATCTATGAGCACACACTATTTTTCTTCATTCAAACGATGAACACCAGAGAAGCTAAGTGGCTTGTGGAATGTCAGTTGACCTGCACATTAATGAGTTACCCTCCCCAGTGTCACCAGTGCCTCCAGGTGAGAAGCACTGTGAGACTGTTTCCTTCTTATGTGATTGTATTTCTTGCTTTATTGGAATATCTCATTTTAAGTGACATTCTAGGCCTGGAAGCAGACTGGCATTTGAAGAATTCTAGGCAGGTAAGAACCTGGATTGTTTCCATAGGCTCAGAGAGGACAGTTCATATCGCTGCCCTTCCCCATGGACTCACTGTAGTTTCCACTCTCCTGGCTACCAGGGAATTTCTCACATCTGGCTGAAGTCCCTTGGACTGTTGTGCAAACCCATTTTCTCTTGCTTTTTTTCCTATGTAGAGAAAAATGAGTAGAAACCATTCACAGTTTAAAAGCACTGATAACTTGAATCTTCAAACTAAGATTAATATTTTCACTTGAAGGAAGAGCAAAAGAGAATAATATTTGTCCACAAAAAAGTCAAAGAAATCTCACCCGACAGAGAGGAAGTCAGGCTGAGAAAGATCACTTAATAATTTACAGTGGTGAGTTTGTAGTCCACAATAAGTCTTTTTCTCAGTTTCCCCAAACTGAGATGGAAGAAAAAGAGGTGCTAAATTTGCAGAGGAAGGACTGAGAGCATTTAGTGTCACGTTTTTGGTTCTTATCACAAATTAAAACATACATGTTTTCATTATGATCTAGCACATAGGTAGGTGTATCTAATCAGGTGTTATATTTCTTGATGCCACTGATATAGATTAGGCTATGGATCTAGATCTACGTACATATCTATATACGCACATGTATGTACTCAGAAAAGACACTCATAAGACAACAAGTAAACTCCTTCTGTGTAGAATGCCTTAAACCTCTCTACTTTATTTAAAACATATCTTGGTTATGGCTCCTAAAACTTGATTTGATGACCCATGAATGTGTTGCATCTTGCAACTTTCAAGGTCCCAGTTATGAGAGGAGTGACTTAACGTAGTAAACATGTGACTATTAGTTAGCTTGGTGACTTGGTTTTTGAGCCCTGTAGCTGATTATATTAGTCATCTTGAGAGCTTCAGATTTGGCTCCTCTGATGTCAAAGCCAAGGGATCTGTGCTTTATTAATAAAGAAATTTGTGATTTAGAACAACTTTATGTTTACAGAAAAACTGTGGAGCTGCATTTTAAAAAGTTGTCCCAACGATTCCAATATTGGATCAGGTGGAAAGATCTCTGATGGTGCCTTGTATATATGAATTGCTCAGTCAACATGTGATTTGATGGTTTAAGCCTGGATAGCTCAAAACTAAGGCATATGGGCTTTTGGAAACCCCAAACCCTTCCCTCACCTTCTCCTAGGGCCGAATTGATCTCAAGTCTTTCTCAATAGCCCAGGAGCCACTACCTGGTTTGGATGCAAGATAAAATCATCTTGTGCCAAGTTTAGGAGGGGATTTCAGTCTGAGAGTTTGTCGTTATTCATTTATCTATTTTTCAGGCTGAGGCTGTGACCTTGAGTGAAGGATGATTTGGCTCCAAGATTGTGCTGTGAGACATAGGAAGAAAAAGGGAGGCAGGGACTGGGCTGGGTTGAGCAGTCATTTGGCCTCCTGCCCAAAGGGCAGGGGGAATCTGGCAAATTCCTTTCCTACTGGGCTATGTCCACCTGAAAGAATTATGTGTTTCAACTCCTTTATCCAGAGAGGAGTCATCTTTAAAAATGATAAATAAATGCATGCAACAGATAGGCAAAAGGAAGTTCTGGGCAGGTGGAGATTTTGATGCCATCATCTGGGCATATGTACTAGGTATCTTGAGCCTTGTGTTTCAGAGATTTCCCTGGAACAGAGTTAAGAGGTTGAGACAAGTTTAATTATCCCGTAGGAAGGCACTTCTAGGGTGATTTCTTTATTTGGAAATGTTTCATCATGGTTTACAGAGACCTGAGATCTTTTAATTAAATGTTTTCTTGAAATTCCATAGGACCTGGAAAAATAGAACTTCTGTAATATTAAAAACCAGATATTTTCAAGACTGAAATCAAGCTATATTTCTGTTTTGTTACTGGTTAATAATTGTTAATAATCCATTGTGCCATTTAGAGGCCTGTGAAAAGATAATGGTCTTCTCATATATTAAAATAGTATCTGTTTTCTGTTAGATGGTGCTTGGGTAGGCTTTTAGAAGCACACTGAACTTGCCCACATGAGACACTGTCTTAAGAAAACAACTCTAACAATACATAGGTGAGCTACCTTAAAGAATATTCGGAGAGGACGGGTATGTGGCTAGAACATTGGTTCAGCATGTGTGAGGATCCCCAGCACTGAATAAATGGGATCTAGTGGTGCTCACCTATAATCCTGACACACCAGAGGTGAAGGCAGGAGGATCAGAAGTTCAAGGACATCCTTGACCTCACAGTGAGTTTGAGGCCAGCCTGAACTATGAGAGAAGCTGTTTTAAAAACAGACAAAGAACATTCAGAGGATTTGTACCTTTGTGATGGGTCGGTCCATGGCCTGTAAAATATTAATGAGAAAGACTATAATGATGAGGATGACACAGGCAGGAGCAGCTATCATCAGTGCCATTTCAGTTTGTAAGAGGTTCACACTGATCCAAATCTTAGTTTACTGAAACATGCTGCCCACAATAACCAGTTAAGTTGAATGTTTAATTGAAAAGGAATATCTATAATGCCTAAGTCACTATGTACGTCATGTTGCATAATTTTCTCATTGTAGTCCACAGTAAACTTATGAAGTAGGTTTCATTGTCTTCATTTTACAGATAGAGACTTTATTAGTTAGCTAAACCAAGAAACACAGATAACTTGGGGTTCATATTCTTGGGCTTTTTCTTCCTCAAATTTGAACTTGCATGTACCATTAACATATTCAAGCAAGTCTTCCTTGCTAGATAATTTTGTTTCCAATTTTTGATTATTACAAACATTACAAAGTGGGATGAAATTAATAGAAAGTATAAAATTTATCTTTTATACATTAAGAAGAATATTCTTTAAAAAGTAAACTGTTTAAAAATATGTAGGCTATTAATATGTAAAAATCATTGAATGGTAATAGTTCCTTTTTAAACAATTATTACAGTCAAATTGTCATTTTGGTCAGTTACTTTCCACTGAATCTGCTGTACACTTTTTGTGTTTTTTCATTATTTGCTGGTCCCCATTAGTATAGCTTGTTCCTGCTCTATTAAGATTGAGTTTATCAATGTCATTTACTTCTGTCTGTGAAGAATAAGAATTTTCACTTGTTTACTTTGTTATCATTTGTGTGAGGTCTGCCTTGGAGTAGAAAACAATCAAGAAGTGCACACTTGTCTAACTTTACATTTCTAGAAATTGGAACTAGATGGAACTTTAGGAGGAAACTAGGTGTGATATTTACATGTGACAGTTACATTTACTTGAGATGACAGTGTATGTTGTGTTATTTGAGATGACATTATTTCCAGAAATTCATCATGAATTCATAATATAAATTATTTAATAATAGAATCACAATGAATTAAGATTAATTTTTTTTCATTTGGTGAGCTTAAATTTTTAAAAAAATATTTTATTTTTAGTTTATATGTATGAGTGTATTGCCTGCATGTATGTAAGTGCACCCGTGTCGTGCAATGCCCGAGGGCAGAGGACAGAAGAGGGTGTTGGTTCCCCTGGAACTAAATTTATGTATGGTCGCCATGTGGGTACTGGGAACCAAACTCAGGTCCTCTGCAAGAACAGCCGATGCTCTTAACTGCTGAGTCATCTCTCTAGGCCTGAGCTTAAAATTTTTAAATATGTATTTATCTTCATTCTTAAAATATTTATTTTATTGTATTTTCTGTGTATGAGTGTATTGCCTGCATGTGTGTAAGTTCACCCATGTCATGCAACACCCACAGAGGTCAGAAGAAGGTATTGGATCCCCTGGAACTGAAGTTACAAATGGTTGTTAGCTGCCATGTGGATACTAGGAATTGAACCACTGCAAAAGCAGTCAGTACTCCTGACCGCGGAGCTATCTCTCCATCCCTGATTTATCTTTATTTTTTTGAGAATATCATACATATGGATGTCATTTCCATACCGCCCTCCCCCCCACCTCTTCCTCCACTCGCCTCCCTCCCA